TACCTCCACCAACAACACAACATGGAGGGATGCCCCTTTTCCCTAATCCCACCCTCATCTTTCTGCATGGGAAAGATTTCTGCCTCCCCAACCAGACTTCACTTCAGCATGGATCCTCCCTGCACCTGCTTCTACCCCTACCATACCCCACTGCCTCCTCCACCTCTCTCCCTCATCCGTCAGGCCCTCCATCACTTCTCTCTCATCCTCTGACCCCTCTTCACTTGCAGAGGTGTCCAGCTGACCCCACTGGCTTTCTTCCCCCAGAGGTTGAAGTTCTCACCAAAGAAGACCCCCAACACTGTGCGGTTTCGCAGGGAGGCCAGCCCTGCAGGGCCCCTCGAGATGGTGTTGCTAAGGTCTCGGGGGTTGGGCAGGTGGGGTTCTCCCAAGGGCTGGTACACGCCATCTGCATAGCTGGCTGGGACCAGGCGCTGCAGCCGGGAGCCTGGGGTAGAAGGAGTAAGGATAAGGAGGAATCTTCAGGGGGCATTCTTTTTTTTTTTTTTTTTTGAGACGGAGTTTCACTCTTGTTACCCAGGCTGGAGTGCAATGGCGCGATCTCGGCTCACCGCAACCTCCGCCTCCTGGGTTCAGGCAATTCTCCTGCCCCAGCCTCCTGAGTCGCTGGGATTACAGGCACGCGCCACCATGCCCAGCTAATTTTTTGTAGTTTTAGTAGAGACGGGGTTTCACCATGTTGACCAGGATGGTCTCGATCTCTTGACCTCGTGATCCACCCGCCTCGGCCTCCCAAAGTGCTGGGATTACAGGCTTGAGCCACCGCGCCCGGCCCAGGGGGCATTCTTGACCCCCTCTCTCCCAGGCTTCCCACCATGTCATGGAATCTAAAACCTTGGAAATGGATGGCCTTTGCTGGTACCTGCCAGGTCTTGCCTCGCAGCAGTTAGTATCACCCTGGCCCTGGGGCTCTGTCCCCACTTGGCTCCCACTTACCTTTGCTGCCCCATCTGTGCTCCATGAGGTTGTTGTACCACCCATCAAATCGCTGCACCTCCCATGAAATGGGGTTCTGAGCGCCTGTGTGAGAATGGAGGGAAGGGGCAGCTGGGCAAGTCAGTGCGTGAGAGGACAGGCAGGCCTGCAGGAAATGGGTGCTGTGAGCCTGGCACTTGGAGCAGTGGAAAGTGGATACCTGGAGTGGATGTGAGAGGTAGGATGCAGAGGGAAAAACCGGGCAAAGCAGTTTCCAAACTCAAGCCAGATCTTTAAGCTGCTCAGTGGGGGAGACATGGCAGGGAGCCAAAACGCATGTAGCAGGGAGCAGTGTGTGCTGACAGATGGCCTCAGAGAGGGAGGGGGGCTGGAGGAGAGCAGTGGCCATGGGGAAGAGGATACAGGGCACTTCTACTCCCCTCAGACTTCGGCTCCCTGGGGGGACACAATAGGATAGAATCCATCCCGCAACCGTAAGACACTACACAGAGCAAGAGCCAGCCACACTCCATACCTGAGAAGGACACGTCATTCTGTGACCCATCCCTGGGCAGGGTCAGTGTGGTGAGGGACCTAGTCCTCTCTGGCTGAGCAGATCCCAGGGCAGGGGTGTGGTGTTGCTACTGTTTTTTTCCCCTAGGTTGTTAGGTAGGACCGGGGACAGACTGGTGATGTGGATAACCTTGCCCCTTCTCTGGGGCATCTTGTCCCCATACAATTCCTCCGCTTGGTCCTTTTGAACTCTCCAAAATGAGGGTCCAGGAGGGAGCACTCAGCCTCTGGGGAAAGAACTAAGGAATGAGGAACAGAGGGAAGATCCAGAATGGAAAATGGAATCAGGGATGGAGCAGGGATCTTTCTGATCAGTAGATCAGATGGCCGGCCTGATTGTTTCCCCCAGACTAGGAGTCTATAGCTCTGGGGCTTCCTCTCTGCTCACCTCAGAGAACAGACACACACATTTGCACACTCACTCAGCAGGGAGCTAGGGGGGAAAATGACTTAGTGCCTGATGTTTGAGCAGAGAACCCAGCTAAGGGTCCAAGATTTGGGGAAGGGCCATACATGTGATATCTAAAAATAAGATGAACCTGTGGCACATAAAGGAGTGAATCCTTGCAGAACGGTACAGGGTAAGTTTCTCTTAGAGATAAGAGGTCAGAGCTGGAGGAGAAAAGGAAAATCCAAAGCCAAGGAAAGAAGAGGGCTGGAAGGAACACGGATGTGAGCAGCTCTGGCAAGGGAGGAGCTGTCGGGAAGGTGTCACGATCCTGCCACCTCCAGCCAGGACAGATCCCTCTACAGGTTTTCTCTGCTTTCTGCTTTTGCATCTCCCATCCCAAGTTATCAAGGACTTGCTCTTTTAAAGAGCACTTTTTAACTTGTGGCACTGCAAGGCCACTTCCCTCCACAGAGACACAGACTATGGAGAACAGCCTCAGATTCCAGTAAGAAACTGTCCACTGAAGGTGGCAATATGAAACTCTCGTGGAAGGTATTGTTTTTGTTTTTGATCATAATCTTTAAAAATATTGATGACTCCCCTTCAGCTTTGGGTCTAATCTGACCCCAAGATCCTTTATTGTCTTGTGTGTCTAATCAATCTTTTCCTATTTTGAGTCATAGGCCTTGATTTTATGGGAAACAAGAGAAGATTGAGGAGAAAGAAAGGGCCCCCAAACTGTAAGGAATAAAATAGGAAGTGCTGACATGGAAATTAAAGGCTCCCTAATTCTGTGCATTTGGGGATAATTTTCATTCCATTTTCCATCCATTTCTTCAAGAGCTAGAAATGAGCAACTCTCACATGCAGGGCACTGTGCCAACTAAAGACTAAGGATACAGATGAACATCACATGGATCCTGTCTTTGGGGGAGCCCAGAGGATGCTGGATTCCTCTGCTTTTAAACATGCTTCTTCTCCAATCTGTACTCACCCATAGGGGTCCATGGCCCAACCAGAAGTGTCCACGCTAGAGCCAGGAAGAAGCCCATGATGAAAATAATAGGGGCTCAGGGATTAGAACGTCCCAAAATGGAGACCCTAAAAAAAGGATAGAGAATGAGCCCTAGCTGCTTAGAAGAAGAATCAGGTCAAGGCCTCTGCAGGACTCTGAATCAAGGCCTGGGGCTGGGCCAAGGTCACAGTAGGTATCGAAGTTCAAGAGACTCACTCTTTCCCAAGATTCTTTAATTCACTCAGCAAATACTTGATGAGCACCCTTTATGTACCAGGCACTGACCTAGACACTGGAGATTAAGTGATGAACAAAACAAACAGAAATCCCTGGTACCTAGCTTCAGGGACTTTACCTTCTAAAATTAGTTGGAAAACCTTGCTTTGGCCCAGCTCCTTGCAGTGTGTTCCTTTGACAGAGACTTTCTTGAGGATCAGGAGACTGGGCTGAGGTCTCAGTGCTGCTGCCAGTCCATGGTGGGGTCTTAGATAAATCACTTCTCCAATCTGATCCTTGGTTTCCTCTTCCAGCTATGGGAGCAAATATGCCTGAACTGTTTACTTCCCAGCATGGTTGCCAGAATCAGATGTGATAATGAAGTTGAATTCAAAGCAAGAAAAGTGACAGGTGTTATGCAAATGTGCTACCGAGAGGGCAGGTGGGAGACTGACGCCTTTGGTTGGATCCAGAAGGGATGCAGTACCAGGTGCTTATGTGTTTAGTGCAGGCTTCCTGCTCTCTCTTTCCACCCAGAGTCAGCAGGGAAACAGAGGCAGCAGAGGACTCAGGCTGGGACTCCTGAGTGGTGCAAGGAGTACCTAAAGCCAGTGAAGACTTCCTAAAGGCAAGCTGGAGTTTGGGGATAGGATAGAGGAAGGAAGGAGCTCAGGGAAAGCCTCATCCCTAGCCGGATATCAGGGCTCCTGGATGGGCTGTCTAGAGAGAGAACCCAGGGAGTGACCTCATCCCCATTCCATCTCCTACTGAACAAATGAAAAAACCTAGGCCCTGCCCTAACTGGAAAGCTCAGTATTCCACCTGCTGTGTTCCACAGAGTCTGTCCAGGTGCTGGCCTTTAATAGTGCGTGAAGAGCTGGGCTCTGGATGGTTGAAGCTGTAAATCTGGCTGTACTGAAGTACCCACAGGGATCCTTCCCTGATCCCAAGATGTCCTGGCCCTCCCCCACCTCCAACAATGTCTTCAGGATCCTTGGCCCAAACGCTAATGTACCACTCAGCCCCTAAGGGCATGAAGTGCCCTTTCAGGCCAGGCTGTGTGGGATGACCTTAAGAGGAAGGTGGACATTCTTAAAAACCACTTCTTGTGGGTGGGTTGCCTTTAATAATTTACACAATGACATGGGGCAGTAACTTCTCAACAACCTTGAGAGGAAGGCACAACCCCAGGACAGAGCAATGAAGCCCCAGGCAGAGCCAGCGGCAGAACCAGAGAGAGAACACAGGCCTGCCTGTTCTTGCCCCACATGGCCGCTTTTCCAGCCTGAAGCTCTAGAGTGGTGACCCTGTTGGTCCTGAGGTGTGAGGAAGAGGGTCAAGGTCATCGAATCCAACCTGGGAGGGCTGAGGGGGAAAGCTTGGATCCTAAAGCCCAAAGCTTCCTCCCTGGTATGTTGGGCTGGCGCCAAGAGAAGAATCCTTAGGCCCAGGCAAACTGGGCCACCCAACATTCTCAGGTCCCGAAGAACCCAGTCTCTCAAAACCTTGATTGTGCAGAGGACAGCCCTAACAGGGCCCATTTTAGCCTTAGGATAAGATCCGAAGAGCAAGGGGCTAGCATTCCACTCCTTCAATAACGTGGCCCAGTGGCCGCTCCCCCGACACCCTGCACTTAGAGCTCCCTACCCCGGAGCGCCCCGGCCCGCGGGCTGGGAAAAGCCCTCCCCGATCTGACCTGCGGCTACGGCGTCACCGGAGCCCGGGACTGCAACTTGTCTCCGGCCTGGCTCCCAGGTGGGCCCGCGGAGCCTGCTCGCGTCCGGTGCCTCTCCAGCTCTGCGCCGGGACGGGCGGGGCTGGGTGTAAGGAGGGGACAGCGCGGCCCGGCTCAGCAGCAAGGCGGGGCGGGGCGCAGTGGGGCGGGATGGAGGCTGGCGCCGGGGGACCCGCGGAGGTGCTTCAGGGGACCGCAGTGCGCGAGGTGAGACGGCGAGGGCTCGCGGGGCGCAGGTAGAGATGTCCCGTCGGCGTCGAGGGCAGGGCTAGTGCGGTCGTGTGGATGGCGAAAAGGGCAAGTCCGCCTCCACAGGTCCCGCGGGGCTGGGGAGAGGCTGGGAGGCGGAGAGGGTGTGGGGAGGGGAGACTCTCCTCGAATCCTCTGGGCACCGTCGGGTCTGGGCTCGGTGTCCAAGACCATTGATCAGCTGCCGCCCACAGACCAGGCCAGGCGTCAAAGCAAGTCACTCATCCGACCTAAACCCTCTGAGAGCCTGGGGTCACGTCTCCCTCCGGGGATCCTCGTGAAATCTCAGGGGTCCCACCGCCCTGCGAGCCGCGCCCATGCCCTGCCAGACCCGGAACTGCATCGCCAGGTTTGCGCTGGAGCTGCTGGGGATGCTGGGCCTGGGTGGGGGGCGCGGAGGAGGGGGCATTGGGGGGACCAATGCGGAGCGGGCAGACCCCGGTGCTATGGTTCTGGCGCACCCAGCTCGTCTCTGTCCGAGGCTGGGAGTGGTAGGCCGCGCTGTGCAGTCTCGGGTGCAGTCTGAGAAGTTTGGGAGTGACTTGAGGAATGACTGGAAGCACCCCAGATCCGGTTTGTCCAGTCACAGCAGGGTCCTTACTTGAGTTAGGAGACGAGCGGGGGGGTCGGACGGGAGCCCCACAGAGAGTAAGGGCTCGCGTTTGTTCACAGAACCTGGTTCCCTCTTTACTCACACCCCCCAGGGCGCTTTGTGTGAGGTTCCACGAGGGAAGGCTAGAGACGCAGGCTGCCACACACGCACTGTTTGGAAGAGGCGAAAGTAGGGAACTATGGTCCAGGTGTGGGTGGTGGAGGATGCGGTTGCTTAGGTCTGCGTGGTCCAGGTGATTTTGAAGGGGGTGTTGAAGTGCTTGCTCCGGCCCAGGCACCTAGGGCTGTACCTTCTGCTTTCATCCGGACCAAGTTCAGATCTTCAAAGAGAGAGTTTGGTAAGAAATTGGGGAGGCAAGGAAAACCTCTTAAAGCCATAAATGCCGCAAGGTTTACAGACATCGAATCCTCATCCCAGTTTAACTGGAGTCTAGGTAGTTTGCCTTGCATGCTTCTACACTCTCGAACTCCTTACCCACATCAGCCCTTCCTGGGGAATGCTGCCCCCAATCCACTTTCAGATCCTGTTCCATTTCTCCATGTAACTCCTATCTCTGTGCAACAACACACATATACATCCATACACAGACACACACATACACACAAACCCCTTCCTTGAAGAGGAGAATCTAGGACAGGAGTTTCTGACAGGGTCCCCTTAGCTAACCACAGCTGTAAACTTTTAATGGGGTCTACGCCAACCAGAGAAAAAAGCATCACATTCCAGTAGCTGTGCATTACCAGTCAGAGGTCTTGGCAACTCCAGCCCTGTCACCCAGTCCCATCTTGTGGAGAATTAGTGGTCCTTACTTTATTGGTTCCAGCAGATGGGGGAGGTGGGCAGGGAGAAGACCAGGAAGAGAGCCCTGCCAAGCTACAAGAGAAGCCACAGGACATCAGCACATAACTTTGAATGAGGAAGGCTAGGGTTTGTCCTAGGCTGAGTTTTCTTAAGGATTGTAACTTTATGTTTTACCCACCCCTCATACACACATAGGAACTCCAACCTGTGGCAGGTAAGGATTGGGTAACTGTGTCTATAACAAGATTGAGCATGAGAAAAGTCTTCAGTACATAAAGGGAGCCCAGAAAGGGAGAATGGTGCCTCTTCCTCCCTAGGCCAGGTGAGAAAGGAGAACCCCAAAGTATGGGAGTCTCCCCTCACCCCATGAGAAAGCAATCCAATTTTGTCACAAGGGCCTCTGATGAAATAACACAGGTGTGTATATTACTGAGAATAACAGAGTCTGGGTGGTTCTTGTGTCTTTGTCTCTGTTTATCTAAATTTGTAGGTATATGTTTGACTGTATCTTGTGTCTGCTTATTTATATCAATGTACACTGCGCATATATCCTAGTCATGTTGGTGAGGTAGGGGAGAAGTGGGTCAAGTTAATATTGATATGGAATTTTATCACATTAAAACTAATTCTACTGGCCGGGTGCGGTGGCTCATGCCTGTAATCCAAGCACTTTGGAGGCCAAGGCAGGCGAATTACCTGAGGTTGGGAGTTCAAGACAGGCCTGACCAACATGGTGAAACTCTGTCTTTATAAAAAACAAACAAACAAACAAAAAAACTAATTCTACTGTGAGATGCTACTTGACAAGCCAGGAAGAAAGATGTTCCCCAGGGAAACACAAGCTCTGCAGGAAAAGCAGGACTGCTGAGTGTGGGGCCTTCTCATTTCAGTCCCACCTCTTCATACAGGAGCCCTGTTAGCTTAATAATGAAAACCAAGCCAGGCGCAGTGGCTCACACCTGTAATCCCAGCACTTTGGGAGGCCGAGGCAGGTGAATCACAAGGTCAAGAGATCGAGGCTGTTCTGGCCAACATGGTGAAACCCCATCTCTGCTAAAAATACAAAAATTAGCTGGGCATGGTGGCATGTGCCTGTAGTCCTCAGCTACTCGGGAAGCTGAGGCAGGAGAATGCTTGAACCCGGGAGGCGGATGTTGCAGTGAGCCGAGATCGCACCACTGCAGTCCAGCCTGGCCCCTGGCAACAGAGCAAGACTGTCTCAAAAAAGAAAACCAAATTAGGGTCAGAGTCATTAAAAATTAACTTTAAATTAGGCACTGCAAATTAAGGAAAACCTAAATTATGAAACTGAACAAGAGGAAATTAAGAAAGGCAAATTTCATTTACCAACTGTCTTTTTGCTTGTGTCGTCTTTAATAAATATGACATTTGGGAGAGTTAGAAATAAATTAGCATTACTCTTGTATATGTAAAATACAAAAAGCCTTTTGTTAGTGTTTCTTTTAAGCACATGTTAATAGAGATGAAACATTCTTGTAAATTTTTTATAACATCCCTTTAAAACAAATGCAAGAATAATATTTAACCCTGACCAAAATACATTATATTATCTCTTATTCACGTATATTAAAAATACATCTTTCTGAATTCCAGCATAGAACATGTTTTCTTGCTGTTAGCCTCGCTTTACCTTCCTATCTTATTAGCCAAGATATTTTATGTTTTATAGGCTTTCCTCCTATGGATTTTTATTTAAAAATATAATAGCTTCAGTCTAGATGTCATAAATAAAAAATTCTTAGATCAGTAAACTTCTGCTTTAAAATAAATGTCACTATCACAAATTTTACAAAATAATTTAATTCTCAAATTCTTAGTTACTCATTTCAGCTAAGTTTGAGATATATGATTCTGATTCAATCCAACATGAAAATTCATATTTGGATCTTTGTTAGCCTTGGAGACTCTTAAGTATTAGAAGAGGCTTTCTGAAAATTTTGAGAAATTACTAATAGTTGACAGGGTTAGTCAAATCCCTTTTTGCCCAGTCCTTTGCTCTGTACTGGTGATATTCAGTTAATATTGAATTATACGTATAGTACAGGGCAATGAGGGAGCACAGCTCCCCCTTGTGTACAAAATCAGAAGAAGCCACCTGTAGGGAGAGGAACTCATTCATAATCATTCATTTGATCCAGAGCCTCATTAGCATATTTGACATGCTGGGGATGCAAGGATGAAAAGAGGAAGTCTCTGCCCTCAAGGAGATTACAGTCTAATTGGGAGACAGATGTTCAGACAATTAGAGTACAATGTAATCACTGTTATTAGGAAGATATGTTCAAAATGTAATCAGAATGTTCCAAGTGGGAACTCACATTGGCCCAGTGGCATCAGAGGAAACTTCACAGAGGAGGTAACACAAGCTGAGACTTGAGGGGTGAAAAGGTGTTTGCCAAGAGAGTGAGAGCATTCCAGGCAAAGGAAATAGCATATCCAAAGGTACTGAAGGCTTGAAAGAGCATGTCAGATTGAGGGAGAGACCAGTCATTCAGTGTGGCTACAGTTTAGGCTGGGCAAAAGGTGGAGCGAGTATAGGGGGGACCAGGTTATAAAGCACTTATATGTGATAGTAAGAAGATGAGATTTTAGCCAGAGCAGAGAAGTAAAATGATTATATTTATTTATTAGAAAAAAAATTATTCTGGTTGGGCATGATGGCTCGAGCCTGTAATCCCAGCACTTTTGGAGGCCGAGGTGGGAGGATCACCTGAGGATGGGAGTTCGGGACAAGCTGACCAACATGAAGAAACCCCCATCTCTACTAAAAATACAAAATTAGCCAGGCATGGTGGTGCATGCCTGTAATCCCAGCTACTCGGGAGGCTGAGGCAGGAAAATCCCTTGAACCCAGGAGTTGGAAGTTGCCATAAGCCGATATTGCACCGCTGCACTCCAGCCTGGGCAACAAGAGTGAAACTCTGTCTCAAAAAATCTATTTTTTGTTTGTTTGTTTAGAAAAAAAAATTATTCTGGAACTAAAAGATAGGATGAGCCTGGGTTAGAGCAGAGGCATGTATTTCCTTTGTAGGAAAGGAAACACATGGATAGTTTCAAGAAGTATTTAGGAGGTAAGATGGTCCAGGTGTCTGACTTATTTGATTGACCAGTGGTGACATTGCCAAACATGCAAAGACAATAGAATAAAAAGCAGTATAGAGACAATGAACTCCATTTGAGGGGCTTTAGATTTGAGGCATCAAGGGAACATCCAAACGAAAATGTCCACGGGGTGGTTGGCCCTTTTGAGTTTGGAGCTCAGACAGGAGTACTACCTGAAGACATTTGAGAACCATCAGCCATGAGAATGGATGAGATTGCTCAGGGAATCTTGAATACTGCTAAAAGAATAGAGCCATGACAGATTTATGGGGAGCATCAACATTTAACATGGAGGAAAAAGAACTAGTAGAGGAGCCACAAAGAGATGGCCAAGAGCAGGAGCCCCTGGAGGACACGTGTGATGGAAGTGCAAGGAGGTAGTTTGGAGAAAGGGGACATGGTCTCCAGTGTCACATACCACGGAGAGGTCAAGGAGGATGAAAAGTGAAAACTGCTGTTTGGATTTAACACTTAGTGGCCTAATGGAGAAGTCAGGGATGAGGAAAAGTCAGGTTGCGATAGGTTGAAGAGATAAGGCAGTGGAAATACCAATATACGTTGTTTTTTCAAAAGCCTGACTGTGAAAGGAATAGAGTAAAATAGAATGGTAGCTGGAGGGGACCAAGGAGATCCAGAGAGAAGGTTCTTTTTCTGTGTGTTCTTAAGGTGGGAAAAATTTAATTGTAACCTTGAAAGAAAGAGCCAGCAGAGAAAACGAAGCTGGAACACTATGAAGGGAAGAGGGACAACCGATGATAAAGGTGGTGGAGAAGGCAGGCATGAATGGGCTAGAGCCCAGGAGGATGGATTTGCAGAACAGGAGAGAAGAGAGATGCCTATTCCTCAGGGATGGGAGAGTTGAGTAGTTAAGAAAAAGCAAAAAACCAGGCTGGGCGCAGTGGCTCATGCCTGTAATCCCAGCAGTTTGGAAGGCCAAGGCGGGCAGATCACTTGAGGTCAGGAGTTCGAGACCAACCTAGTTAACATGGGCGAAACCCCATCTCTACTGAAAACACAAAAATTAGCCGGGCATAGGGACGCACGCCTATAATCCCAGCTACTCGGGAGGCTGAGGCAGGAGAATCGCTTGAACTCAGAAGGTGGAGGTTGTAGTGAGCCAAGATCGTGCCACTGCACTTCAGCCTGGGTGACAGAGTAAGACTCCATCAAAAACAAACAAACAAACAAAAAACCTTCATGTTAAAACTGACACTTAGGGGTTAAGTGACTTGCACAAAAGACAGAATTAAAAGTTAAAACTTTGTGTCCTTCTGTCTCTTTGCCTGATACCATGCTACTCCCAGAGATAGCACAAGAAGGTGCCCAGCTTAGAAGGAGAGAGGAAGGCTGAGAGCTAGGGCATATTAGGAGAATCCCAGCATTAGAACTAGAAGGGACCTGGAGATCATGAAATCGATTTACAGATGAGGAAACCAAGGACCCAGGAGGTTGTCGCTTACCTGTGCAATATTAGTAAAGAACTGAAACTAGACACAGAATGGATTCCAGCTCAGGGTTCACTTGAAGAAAGATTGGAGAGGCTGGACATGGTAGTTCATGCATGTAATTCTAGCACTTTGGGAGGCTGAGGAGGGTGGATTGCTTGAGGTCAGGAGCTCAAGACCAGCCTGGCCAACATGACAAATCCCTGTCTCTGCTAAAAAATTTAAAAATCAGCAGGTGTGATGGTGCATGCCTGTAATCCCAGCTACTCAGGTGGCTGAGGCATGATATTTGCTTGATTCTGAAAGGTGGAGGTTGCAGTGAACCAAGATGGTGCCGCTGCATTCCAGCCTAGGTGGCAGTGTGAGACTAAAAAAAAACCAAAAAGACAAAAAAACTTAAGAACTTAATAAAGAATTTAGATGTACTCCTTTTTTATTTACTTAAGAAAAGAAAAATTGGAGAAACAGATAAATGGAGTAATAAGCAATGAAATGCCCCCTCTTTCCCAAGCTGGTAGCTTATTTCCAGTACTTTTCTTAGCACTTTATATACACAATCTCATTTCATCCTCACAATGACACTTACAAGATAGACATTATTATCTCAAAGTTTTAATAAAACTGAGTGTCTATAGATGTCAAGTAACTTGCAAGAGGCAGAAGCAGAATTCAGACCCTTTGGAGCTGCTTGACTCCCACGCTCATTCTCACATTATAACTCTTTATAAGACAATGTGTAGTCAAACTAAATTATGGAGCCTTCTGGGCAAACTGAAACCCCAGTACAGATCACACTTCAGGAAATGAGGAAAACTGGGATCATCGACTCTAAGATGCATTTTTTTTTCACATTTTGACATCTCTGAAATTAGGTATATCTCACCAGGAATGGTGGCCATGGTTTAATCAGCAAGACTTTCTTTTCCCCTTTCTTTGTGCTAGCTAAAATAGTAGTGTGTCTTGCAGTCGGTTCTGATATTTGACTAAACACAGTAAGTTCAGCTACCATTTTCCCAATATCCTGTCTGCAAAGGAACAAATAAGAGTCAAACAAGTTCTGAAATCAAGACCACAGCTAGGGTTTGACCTAAAACTTGGCCTGGGAATTTGAATCAGAGAGAAGGACCAATGTTGATCATATGTGGAAGAGAAGGACATCTGGCCCCAGCACTGCCTGATAGAGGGCAGGGCCCCTTCAGTGCTTATTTAAGTGAACTCAGTGAAGCTCAACTGTTCTGCAGTTGCCAGAACAAGAGCCAGGGTGCTTGAGAAAGCTGGACAGACCTGTGTAGGTCTGCAACATCCTCTGATGATGTGGCTGGATTATATACTCAGCAGAGAGCTGCCTGGCCTTTGTTTCTTCGGGGACTGAGAAAGAAAGTCAATCTTTTTGTAATTTGTACCATCTTTCACCTATGCCTTCACCTGATAGTAAATATAGTCCTTTTATGTTCTGTGATCTATCTGTGCTAGGGCCCTGAAGGAGAGAGAAGAGAATTATATTTCTTGAGACAGTCCCAGAAGTAACAGAGAAGCCTCAAGGGTGGTGGTAGCACTGATTTATGGAACTTGGGGGTTAGGAGAGGAGCATGGGCAACAGAGACTGATGGCAAAGACCCTCATTCTGTCACCTAAAAGATGGGGAGATGGATGGCTGAGGCGGTAATAGCCAAGTCTGATGCTGCACAAAATGTGAGCTCTAGAGAAGAGGGACTTGGTCTGGCTCATTCTGTGCTATATCTCCAGTGCCAAAAACAGTGCCAGGTACATTGAGGGCATGCAATATATGTCTGTTGTTGTTGTACAGCATTGCCTCCCCTGCACAACCCCACCAAAATGGCTGCTTTGGGACACACGTTCCCCTTCTATGCTGGCCCCAAGCCAACCTTCCCAATGGACACCACTTCGGCCACCATCGTCATGATCTTTCTGACTGCACTGGCCACTTTCGTCGTCATCCTGCCTGGCATTCGGGGCAAGACGGTGAGAAACCCAGTCCTGGAGACCCCAGCCCAGAGAGACCTTAGCCTCAGGCTGAGGGGTCCAGAGTCTCTGACTACAACCAGACTCAGGAAGGAGATCCCAGTGCTGAGAAAGCATCAGCACCACCCCAGGCACAAAGCCCCTCATTCATTGATTCAACAGTTCATTATTGAGCGTTGGTGGGGCATGGTGGCTCATGCCTGTAATCCCAGAACTTTGGGAGGCCAAAGTGGAAGGCTTGCTTGAGCCCAGGAGTTCAAGACCAGCCTGGGTTTATAGACCTCATCTCTTAAAAAAAAAAATTAGCTTGTGATGTGCATCTGTAGTCCCAGCTACTTGGAAGGCTGGGGTGGGAGGATCACTTGAGTGGCTATAGTGATTTGAGATCACATCACTGCACTCCAGCCTGGGCAACAGAGATCCTGTCTCAAATAAATAAACAAATAAGCACTTATTATATGCCAGACACTCTGATTTCAACTGACCAAGTTATCTCAGCTTTAGAATTCCCACCCTTCCCCCAAGTCTGGAAACAGGAAGGGTAGACATGGAAGGAGGGCGCTCCTTACTTAACCCACGCTCCTTGCCACTCAGAGGCTGTTTTGGCTGCTGCGGGTGGTGACCAGCTTATTCATCGGGGCTGCAATCCTGGGTGAGTGTGAAGTGCAGCTGACTTGGACAGCTGTCTCCATCCCCTCAACTCCCTCAGCAGCCTTCCTCTCCTCTCCTTGTTTCCCCACAGCGGTGGGCCCCAGCTTCAGGGTGGCTTCCAGACCCTGCCCATATGCCTCTCTCACCATGGCCTTATCCCCTTACTCTTACCTTGGCCTGGAGAGGTATCACCCTGGGAAACAAGCTGGATGCGTCTCCCCAACCTTCCTAACATTTTTATTGCTGGGGGTGGGGGTGGGGAAAGGAGGTCAAAATGCATGTCTGTGAGAAGAGGGCTCCAGGGAGGAGGGGAGGAAATGGGGAAGGGCTGTTTGCTTTGACTTGGTGATTAGGCAAATAGGAGAGATGAAAGTCCTTATGAGACGGGGCACAGTGGCTCACTCCTATAATCTCAGCACTTTGGGAGGCTGAGGCGGATGGATCCCCTGAGGTAAGGAGTTCAAGATCAGCCTGACCAACATGGGGAAATCTGTCTCCACTAAAAATACAAAAATTAGCTGAGCATTGGGGTGGGCACCTGTAATCCCAAATACTTGGGAGGCTGAGGCAGGAGAATTGCTTGAACCCAGGAGACAGAGGTTGCAGTGAGCCAATATTGTGCCATTGCACTCCAGTCTGGGTGACAGAGCAAGACTCCATTAAAAAAAAAAAAAAAAAGAGAGAGTCTCTGTGTTCAAGCTATCTGTGTTTGCCTTGCCCAGCATAGTTTAGGTTCATGCTTCCTTCCCAGCTCCCTGAGTAGCTCTTCCTAAAGCAGGTAGAAAGGGAGGGAAGAGGAAGAGGTAAAGAGTGTGACCAAGGGAAATCCCACACATGTGGTTGGCAGACTCACCCTGAGCCAGACCCTGGCTAGTTAATAGGTATCCAATTATGACCAAAACAGACATAGATGCCTTGTAGTTCTTCTGACTCTAACCTAGTAATGCCTCGACCTCTCTGAGTTCCCATATGTCCAACTCCCCAACCCCAGCTGTGAATTTCAGTTCTGAGTGGTCTGTGGGCCAGGTCAGCACCAACACATCGTACAAGGCCTTCAGTTCTGAGTGGATCAGCGCTGATGTTGGGCTGCAGGTTGGGCTGAGTGGAGTCAACATCACGCTCACAGGTGAGGGGGGGCTCTTACCTGTGAGGGAGGGACGGCTCTGTTGTCTTTGGGATCTATGTTTGGTGTGGTCCAAAGAGCTATAAGATGCCTGGCACTGGGGCTGGGAGGATGTGTGGGTGTTGGAGGCATGGTAGGAAGGGAAGTTCAGGGCCTTGGAAGCTGCCTTCTCTCAGTTGAGACCACTTCCTGTCCCTCTGCCCAGTGTGGGTGAGTCCCTACCTAGGCCCCACTGTGGCCCTTGGGTTCCTGCAGAGCACAGCTGCCTTGTTCTCCAGGGACCCCTGTGCAGCAGCTGAATGAGACCATCAATTACAATGAGGAGTTCACCTGGCGCCTGGGCGAAAACTATGCTGAGGAATATGCAAAGGCGCTGGAGAAGGGGCTGCCAGACCCTGTGCTGTACCTAGCCGAGAAGTTCACTCCGAGAAGCCCATGTGGCCTGTACCGCCACTATCGCCTGGCAGGACACTACGCCTCAGCCACACTGTGGTGAGGATGGGAAGGGGATGGGGTGGAGGCCCTGGTAGCCTAGATTGAGGAACAGGGTTTCTAACCATCTCTTCTCCACTCATATGGGTATCTGAGGTGGGACAGGCTGGCACTAGTCCCCATGGTGCTGGCTTGGGAAGTCCATGGGAGGGAATCCCTACCTCCTATCTTTGGGTCACTCTTGGGTCCCTGAGCCTACACCTGGGCCTGTCCAGCTTCACTAGCAGGTAGAGGTATGCAGGCCAGTCCTCACTGGGTCCTGGCTCTCCAGGTTGGCATTCCTTTGCTGGCTGCTGGCCAACGTGATGCTCTCCATGCCGGTGCTGGTATACGGTGGCCACATGCTGTTGGCCACGGGCATCTTCCAGCTGTTGGCTCTGCTCTTCTTCTCCATGGCCACATCACTCACCCCACCCTGTCCCCTGCGCCTGGGCGCTTCTGTGCTGCTTACTCACCATGGGCCTGCCTTCTGGATCACACTGACCACAGGTAAGACCCAGCCCTAAAGACAAGCACTGGAAGGCTCAGGGCCAGGGAGGGAGGACCTGGGAGCATCATGTTGGTAGAGTTGAGGGTCTGTTCCTGGGGGCCAGGATGGCTTTACCCTCTTCAAAGAAAGACTCACCCTCTTGTATCTCTTATCTCTTGCTTTTCTCTCCTCAGTGCCACTTCCCCTCCCTCCTCAGAGGTGCCCCCTCCTTGTGTCTTCTCTGTCTCTCATCTGCTAACTCTCTTCACCCAGCTGCTTCTAAAATCTTCCAACCCTGGTCCCCTCTTGCTTCTTCCAAATACCCTTCTCTGTGTCCCCATTCTTAAAACCTTTCTCTGTCCTGCCTTACACAGCCCTAAATTCTCCTGCAGTTTTATTCTCCTCTCCGATTCCACTGTCTACCCCCTTATGTGCCTCTTCATGCCTCCTCCTCTGTGCCCTGCCCTTCCCCAGGGTTTTTCTTTCCTCTCCCTATTTTCAGAGTTCTCTCTCTCCCCCTTTCTCTCTCTCTCTCTCTCCTGGGATATAACGAAGGAGCACTGGGCTTGGAGTCTGGAAATTCAGGACAACAGGGTTGTTGGAGCCGCAGGCCCCTCAGCCAGTCACCTCTCTGAGCTTAAGTTGCCCTGAAGCAGGGCCTCCAGGCCTCCCTTAGAGCTGTTCTGACACTCCCAGGGGACGGACGATGTCCTCACGAGGTGTTACTAGCACTAAGGTGGGACAACTGTTGCCTTCGTCTGCAGGACTGCTGTGTGTGCTGCTGGGCCTGGCTACGGTGGTGGCGCACAGGATGCAGCCTCACAGGCTGAAGGCTTTCTTCAACCAGAGTGTGGACGAAGACCCCATGCTGGAGGGGAGTCCTGAAGAAGGTGGACTCCTGAGTCCCCGATACAGGCCCATGGCTGACAGTCCAGAGCCCCAGGACATCCCCCTGTCAGAGGCTTCCTCCGCCAAGGCATGCTGTGAGGAGACGCACCCCAGAGAGCCTGAATGCGCCCTATAACACCCCTGCCCCTGGAAGCCGCCTGGACTTCCAGTCTGGCTTCGAACCTCATTGGAGTCCCATAAAACCAGCAGAACTGCCCTCAGGGTGGCTGGTACCAGACCCCCAGCACCAATCTACAGACGGAGTAGAAAAAGCAGGCTCTAGATACTGATGTTAAAAAACAACAACAGCAAAAAGCCCTCAGGGGCTGAAGAGAAGATGGGCTTGTCCATAAAGCCTGTTGCCATGATAAGACCAAGCAGGGGCTATCTCTTCTCTGCACAGCAACCCTGCCTTTGTGTGATGCCTGGCCTCTTCAAGATGCTATTCACTGAAACCTAACTTCACCCCCATAACACCAGCAGGGGGGTGGGGGGACATATGATTCTCCTATGGTTCCCTCTCCTCCCTCCGCACCTCTTGTTTTCCTTTTTCCTGTTGTTCCTCCTTTACTTCCCCAGCTGTGTGACCTCTTCGTACAATGAAAGACAACACCAGAAAGGAGAGGAAACAACTTCTCAGCCCAGGTCTAACATTAACCAACTAGGCCACATTCTCTGAGCTTCAGTTCCCAAGTTTGCTTAATAAGATTGCAGGACTTGCCAAGAATCTCGGGATTTATATTTCTATACCTTGCTGACACCTACCTTGGCCCTCAGACACCACCTCACAAGAAGCCAGGTGGGAAGTCAGTGAATCAATTCCAAAACGCTACTCCTTCCCAGCTCACTCAGCTGGGCTAGCTGAGTGGGATCCAGGAACGGGAGTGGGTGACCTGCCTCATGACTACCACCTAACGTCCACCTGGGGTGGCTCAGGAAGATACAGGCTCCGGTAGGGCCCCCTCCGGCCTCACTAGAGGGCGCCCGCGTTACTCTGGAGTCTAGACGCAGAGAATCCGGTTTCACAGCACAGCGGAGAGTGTACTAGGCTGTCTCCATCCAGCCCAGCGAAGCTCCCGAGGGCGTGCTTCCCCACGACCCCGGAGCGCAGAAGCCATGAAAATTAATGGGGGGAAAAGTTTTTAAAAAAAATAAAAGAAAAAAAAAGTTTATTTACAGCTCGCCCCAGGAGACTTTCCCTGGTGCCTGCGGATGTCTGAGACCTCGCCCCTGGCTCTCAGCGCCAGCAGCACGTAGTGCCCCTTCCGAAGCTCTCCTGGCCCAGGCCTGGGGGCACTGCTTCCCGGCCTGCGAGGTCCCAAGGCGGGGAAGGAGTCCAGATTGGGTCCTTCTCACAGGTTAGTGGTGATACATTTTAAGTCCGGGAGCCCGGCCTGCTTCTGCAGTGGGTTGCCGAGGATAAGAGGTGAGCCCCCTCTCGCCTGGCTGCAGTCCTCGGCGCTTTGGTCCAGAAGGGTGCGAAGAGCGCTGGGCCGAACATAGTGGAGACTCACCACGGCCCCTCCAAGGAAGAGGCACAGGATGCCTGTGGCGGTGAGGACCGAAAGAAAGGAGGGCAGGTGGAGTCAAGCTATATTGCCCAGGCTGGTTTCCAACTCCTGGCCTCAAACGACCTTCCTGCCTCTACCTCCCAAAGTCCTGGGATTACAGACGTGAAGTACCGCGCCTGGCCCCTCTCATCTTTCGGAGTCTAGGTCTTGCGTTACCTCCCCCGGCCCCCTACACATCCTCTAATCTGGATTACATGAAACACGGCAAGACACCAAACCCTTCTGAGCCCCCTTTTCATCTGTAAAATGGTCATAACAGTGCCTGTTTCTTCTAACTATTGAGAGGGGCAAATCAGATAACAGATGTGGATTCATTCTATAAACAGGAAAGTGCACACCCGGTATGAACCCTCCCCCGGAGAATTCCGCCGCGCCGCCGCTATCCCAGCCCCGGGCTTTGGCGCTGGGGTAGGGACAAAGGGAAGCGAGGCTTTGGGAACCCTGGTGGGCTGGAGAAGCCCGCTCACAGCTGGTGCCCCCAGTCCCCTGCAGGGTGGCGTTGTGCCGTTCCCTCGGTCCTCACCGGTTGCCAGCGTGACCCAGAAGGCGGTACCGTACTGAGTGGTGAGCACGGAGGAGCCTAGGCGGAGCGGACAGAGCGGCACTGTGGAGATGGAGGCCCAGGAGAAGATCGCCAAGAGCACGAAGGCTCCGGTGGTCAGCAGTGCTAGGCCTCCGTAGAGCGGGGCCGGCGTGGAGAGCAGCACGTTAGAGAGGAGCCAGAAGCAGAACGCCACCCTGCAAGGGAGTGGGGGGACCGGCTGTGAGTGGGCTTCTCCCAGCCCGCCGGGGTTCCCAAAGCCTTGCTCCCCTAGGTCCCTACCCCAGCGCCAAAGCCCGGTGCTGGGATGGCTGCAGCGCAGGGGAATTCCCCGGGGAAGAAGTGGGCTCCCGAGCTCCAGGCGGTGGCTAGAGTCTCTCTGGATTCCGACGGTCTCTGCAAACCTCGTGATCTTCTGACCCGCGAGGCTGTCATGCCCACCCCTAGCGCGTCTGGTCTGGCTGCAGCTGCTCAGAGCCTTCGACGCCTGCATCCTCCCGCTCACACGGCCCGGCTCCCGGCGCACACACGTGCACACGGCCTTCCCTCCAGTGCTTACCACAGCAAGGCCGAGGCGTAGTGTCCCGCCAGGTGGTACTTGTGGTACAGCCCGCAAGGGCTACTCGGTGTGAACTTCTCCGCCAGGTAGAGCACTGGGTCCGGCAGCCCTTTCTCCAGTGCGTTAGCGTACTCCCCGGCGAAATTCTCTTTCAGACGCCAGGTGAACTGCTCGTTGTAGTCAATGGTCTCATTTAGCTGCAGCACTGGGGTCCCTGCGGAGTGCCGCGGGCTTACCGGCTGCGCGCGGTCGGAGAACTCGCGACTAAGCGGATTCAGATGGGAGAGCGGGGATGCGGCGCTCACGGAGGGACAAATGGGTTCGATGGTGGTTGGAGAAAACGCAGACCCAGGAGGACCACAAGCTATTTGAGCTTGTGGGATGTGAGAGGCCCTTCAGCTATCCCTGACACACTCTCCTAACCAGGGATCTCCCAACCCCAGGAGTTCACTTCGCCCCAGCCCCCTCACCTGTGAGTGTAATATTAATGCCCTCCAGGCCCACGAGCAGACCGACGCGGGCTCTAACGCGCTCTGCGCTGAAGGCCTTGTAGGATGTGTCAGTGTTCACTCTACCCACGAACCACTCTGCACTGAAGTGCACAGCTGTAGGGAAAGGTGAGATGAAGGTGGGAAAATGGAATTGGAGAGTGGTGATGGGAGGTGGGACACTGCAGAGAGATGGGGACTTAGAGGTCCAATGTGGTTGCATGGTAAGGGCCAAAAAGTGGGCCCTAGAAAGAGCTGGAGAGAGGGAAGAGGGAGCAGAAAACCAACCCCAGTTCCCTATTGTCCCAGGTGCCCTCTACCCACCTCCGTTCTCACCCACTCCTCTCCCCACGGGCTGGACCACACACTCACCCACGATTTCAGCGCCTATGAACAGACTGAGAAGAATTCTCACCAACCAGAACCAGCGCTGCAGGAATAGGCACCCGGGTCAGGCCTGAGCCCTGCCCAACCAGAGTCCCCAAGACCACCTTTGACCCCACTCCATCTGGATCTTTGGTTACATCCAGACCTATGAGACTAATGCTAGGCATGCTTTTCCTGCAAGTCCCTCTGGACTACTGGCATTTCTGATGTTTTGTGACCATGTGCTTTCACCTCCCTAGCCCCATTTTCTGTCTACCCTAAGAGCACCTTCCCCTCACCCCCCACTTCTGGTACTCTTCCACCACCTTCACTCCCCCAGCTGCCTCCTGGTCCAGTCACTGCTTGGTAAGGCTCAGTTAGTCCAGAAGTGCTAGGCATGCAGGGGTCACCTCCCTCAGAAGAGGGAGGCCCCAGGGCCTGGTCTCCAAGTGGAGGAGGTGGGAATGCAGATACTCCTAGGTGTACCAGTTCCAGGGAAACCAAAACAGTTTAATATGCAGAAAAGCTGGGTCCTCCAGAATTGAAAAATGCACAACTTAGGCGCTGGGGGAAGGGGAACTCTAAGAAAATGCACCCAGTTGGCTCCAACTTCCAATCCAATGTAAGAGTCTCATTCCTTAGGATGGGGTACTCAGACACGTGTGTCTTGACTCAGTGCAAAGGGGAACACTGCAATCTGAGCTACTGGCATCTGTCCTCTTGGCTCGAAGGTCATCACCCTCAGGATGGGATGAGGGTGCAGCTGCATCCTGGGAGAGGTGGGAGGCCCTGGATGCACATGAAGTCTAGACTCTGCCTCAGGATTACCGGACTGGGTGCCCATTCTCTGCAGCAGCCTTCCCAAGGACACAACTCGGGTCCTTCTTCAGGATGTGCTGGATGGGGAGTTCTCCCTGTCCTTGGGAAGAGGTGCTTGCTGCAGCAGACTCCTGACTTCGCTCCACCTGAGTCTCAGTTTGACTATTTATGGAGGCCCTTGCACAGTCTTACCTGTTCTGGGTCCCTCGGGGGACAATTTGCCCATGACGACTCCCCCCACTCTACGCGAACTACTAAGACACCCTTACCGAGTGGCCACGGATCCCGGGCAAAATGAGCAGGAAGCTTGCTGCTAACGCCAAAAACACTAGAATAACGATGAGCAGTGGGACGCTGAAGCCTGCCGCATGCCGGGACTGGGGGTAAAAAGGCAGTACGCCGTTCCACAGGGTCATGCTGCAGGGCGGCCGAGAGCTGCACGCAGGAGGGCAGGCAGGCCGGCAAGCTGGGGCTGCCTGAATGCTGGAGAGTGCGTCCTTGGCGCCTCTTCGCGTACAACGCCGGCAACCAAGTGGGCTGGTGAAGTCTGAGTTCTGCACCTCTCCGCTAAGGAAACGTAGCGGCAGGCTGCTCCCAACGCTCTGTGGTTGATACCGACAGAGTTTGGTTAGTTGGCGAGCGAAACTATTTCTCACTGTCTGTAGCCAGTTACTTTCCTGGTTCTCCGGGTTCGCGCTGAGTTTGGAAGTCGCGCGGGACCCCTTTTATAGCAGCGTGGGCGGCGTGCCACTCAGGTGTCCCAGCCCAGCCGCCGAGTCCCAGCGGAAAGAGGTTATGCAAATAAGGGCCCCGCCTGCACAGCAGGAGGGTGAGCCCTGGGTACAGATGCTCAGATTCGGCGCAGGTCTGTCCTGAGCCAACACCGGCGAGGCGGTGAGACCGAAGACCCAGAGAGGAAGGTGAGCGTGCAGCCAGGGCGGCTGAGGATCAGCGGAGCTGGAGGAGCGGGGGTGAAGGCAAGAAGTAGAGCACAGAAGTGAAGATTTTTAAGAGGCAAGGAGACATCTGAACCCGACACCACCATAAACCACAGGTTAGTTCAGTTTGGGACCGGACCTTAGCCCTCGCTCATCACGGACAGGCGTTCATTGCAGAAGGGGAGTTCATTGGGGAAGGGGGATTCATTGCGGAAGGGTGCTGCAGGTCCCTAGCTCCCAACTCAGTAGCCTCTTTTCCTTCCCTACCTCCTGGAGGAGAAGGGGAGCCTGTCGGATTAGTGCTAGTGATGGAGGTGATACATTCGAGACATTGGGCGCACCAATGCCCCAGGAGACTCCTGCCCAGTGGGTTCCTATGGTCGGGGGTTAATTCTCTGAGGGGGTGGCGGATGGGGAACAGTGTCCAGGCCTCCACAGCTTCCAATTGTCCTGAAAAGAGTGGCGTTTGGATGCAGGCCCTCAGTGATGCTTCTAACAGCTACGTTCCAGAAGTGGAAACAGCTGGCGCTCCTCCTTCCCTCTGTAGGAACGAAAGGGGAGGGATAGAGGACACCCTAATAGCGGCCTTCACATACCACCTACCACCCCCACCCCCGCCCAGCAGGCTGCAGGGTTGGCATGCTCCGTGCAAGACAAGAGGCACTGATGTTCCTGGGAGCTCTGCTGATTGGATCCCTGTATCCAGCTGGCAAGTATCTGGCTCCTGTAGCTGCGGGGTGTCCCCTAGGATCCCCTGGGAGGTAGGGAGGGGAAAAGTGCGGCAAGCGGCTCCCTGAGACTGGAAGGTCAGTTCACTGCGCAGCTCAGCGGGATGGGAAACTTCCTAGTGCGGCCTGACACTTGGGTCGGGTTAGGGGCGCTCCTCGAGCTGGGGAGGGACGGGTCCGAGGCCGTTGGGTCCGGGAGGGGTACCTGGGAGCCTAGTGCTGAGGAGGCCCTTCTCTGTGTCCACAGGCGGACAGGACGCACTCTCACTGCCCTGGGAAGTGCAGCGCTACGACGGCTGGTTTAACAACCTGAGGCACCACGAGCGTGGCGCTGTTGGTGCGTCCTGGGGCCGCGGGTGCTGGAAGCCTCTAAGCAGAGAATCTGCGGGGAACACTCGCCCAGCAGCTCCTCTGTCTACACAGCGCTCCTGGGGCCAAGAGATCCTATAGAGACCGTTCCGTCTGAGAAGAGGGATAGGGGTTGTGGGAGGCTAGGACGAGGTTTAGGGGATTCTTGGGGATGGAGTGCTTAGCGCCCGGCTCCCTACCTCCGCAGGCTCCCGGCTGCAGCGCCGCGTACCAGCCAATTACGCCGACGGTGTGTATCAGGCTCTGGAGGAGCCGCAGCTGCCCAACTCGCGCCGGCTCAGCGACGCCGCCACGCTGGGCAAAGCCGGGCTGCCGTCGCTACGCAACCGCACAGTACTGGGGGTCTTCTTTGGTGAGGGATAAGGAGAAGACCAGTGGGGTTGATCTGGCGCTCTGCTCAGCCCCGGGGAGGGGCCAGATCCCCTCTGCGAGTCCACAGGAGACAGATCCGAGACTCTCAACCACTTCCTCTCTAAGCACTTCCAGATTGCCTTCATCTCGAAGACATTTGGCGTGTTGACG